CTTAAACGCTGGAACCTGGGAATGTTACTTTATATGAAAAAAAGAATGGTCTTGGCAGGCATGATTAAGTGAAGCTTCGGGAGATGGGGAGGTTATCCTGCATTATCTGGGTGGACCCTAATTGCAGTTCCAAGTGTCCTTATAACAAGGGGGCGCAGGGAGACGTGCTGCATGCACAGCGGAGAAGGCAATCTGATCAGAGAGGCAGGAACCGGAACGACGGGGCCACAAGCCAAGGAATGCGGACAGTCAGCGGAAGCAGGCTAAAGCAAGGGACAGATTCTCCCCTAGAGTTTCCAAAGGGAGCGCGGCCCCACCAGCACCTTGATTTTGGCTCAGTGATACCGATTTCAAACTTCTGGCCTCCAGAACCATGAGAAGAAATTTTCCTTGTTTTAAGCCACTAAGATTGTGGCCATTTGTTATAGCAGCCCGAGGAGACTGACACAGCCTGACACTCCTTGAGTCGCCAAATCAGTTGAGGCTGAGGGGCAAATCCTTCCAGTACAGACAAAGCCAAAGCCCTTCTGGGGTAGGATTTGAGGGGGAGATGGAAATTTCCTTTGCACCTTCCTCTCTACGCTTACCTCTTCCACACTCTCTTCGAAGCACCCTCCCCTGTGAAAACATGGCACCTAACTTCCCTCTGCTTCCCTCTGCCAACTGTTTCTGGTGAATGCTGGGCAAGTCCTCTGACAACCCCAGCGCTTGGCTCCAACCTGTCTGAGGCTGCTTCTCACTTTCTGCCTCCATTTCTTGTCAACGTACGTGCAGTAGGTCCTAGGCTAGACTCCGAGCTCCTGGGAAGCAGGAGCCATGTTTGAATTATCGTGCAGTCTCCTAAGGACCGCAGCACATCAGTAAGCACACAGTAGGTGCTCAAGCAGCGGTTAATGTGTGCTTCCCATGTCCTTACTATGAGAAATGTTACTTCGTTCTCTTCATTGCCTGGAGGTCAAGAAGCTCAAAGCCAAGTCTGATGCTGATAAACAGGGATGCTCCCGCATTCTTCCACATCTGCAACAACGGGACATGAACAACATTAGTGTTCTTTGTTTTTAAATTGGTGCATAATCTACACGTGGTAAAATGCACGTATCTTACCTGTACAGCTTGATGACTTTTTCCCCTTCTATACTTTCTCGTAACAACTGCCTGGATCAAGATATGGAATCTCTCCATTACCCCAGAACGTTACCCTCTTCCCTTTCCCAGTCAGCTAACCCCCATGTTCCTCACACCTCAGTGAACTGCTGTTCTGTCTTGTACTCCAGAATTCCATATAAATGGAATCATCTGACTTCTTTTTTGCCAAGTAATGTTTTTGAGATTTATCCATGTGGTTGTGTATATCGGTAGTTTTTTCTTTAAAAAAACAAAAACCAAACTGCTGTGTATTTTTCCATTATAAGAATATGCCGCGGGCGCCTGGGTGGCTCAGTTGGTTAAGCGACTGCCTTCGGCTCAGGTCATGATTCTGGAGTCCTGGGATCGAGTCCCGCATCGGGCTTCCTGCTCGGCAGGGAGTCTGCTTCTCCCTCTGATCCTCCCCCATCTCATGCTCTCTCTCTCTGTCTCATTC